TATTAAAAGTCGGATAAATCAATAGAGAAAATCAAAAACTCAATAAGTCACTTAGAAAATCAAATAGAAACCTGACCATGTTCATAATCGCACACTCACCTATGTCTGAGACGAGCTGCTCGCCCTATTCCACAAGTGCGAACGAACTTCTGGAGATACAATCGAAACTGTGCCGCATCTATCCGTCGGCCTTCTTGTTTATCAACAAAGGTGTAGGACTACAATTAAAGTGTAAACAATTAGCAAAGATAGTAACAACAATAAAAACAAAAAAAAAAAATCATAAAAGCACTAAACGAAAGATAACTGAGTAAAATGACGAAAAGAGGATAAGGCCTCCTCCGTTAACCTTTTCGAGATGCGACGGGCATTCTACCTCCTTTCAGAATCTTGTGCCTTATTGAATGCGATGTGGACTGTGCAATGAATGGCGCAGGCCAGCCAATGTACAAGTCAGGGTTTTCATCCTCCCGGACAAACTTGTACCAACTTACCGTCGTCGAAAGTATAAGGTCTGTCTGACCGAGGAGGCAGTCGATTTGGGATTTAACTACCGACCGTGCGCGTGCTAAGCGTACCATTTGCCATTACACCACCTCCCCTCAACGAATAAATAAATCAATAAATAAAACAACATAGTAAATTATTAGTCGAGACGTGATCCTTTATAAACTAGCAACTAAGCAAATAATAGACATACATGGAAAGTTCCGGCCATACTCATCTTTAATGACCACACTTCTGAATTTTTAGGCCAAGCCTCCAATTTAGCTAGGAATTTGCCAGGGTACATCATCTGGATGGGTAAAATGTTGCCGTCAGTACGACCCCTCTCACAGCCTCCCTACACCCTCCCAACTTTTAGCGAACTTCTGCCGGAGGTGGAAGGGGAGGGGGGAAGGACTAATGGAAATAGTAGTTTTACCACGTCGCCAACTAGGGGAGCTTTTCTCCAATAAAAAATAAGAAAACTTTTTCAAAGGTCATATACGACCTCCTGTCTCAGCGACCCAAACACCACCCCCCCCCCTCCATGGATTCCACACGCAGCGATGATGTAATGCTTACTGGGCAGTTCTCCTTAATTCTGTGGAAAGCGTGCGCTACACGAGTTTTCAGCGCTTTGTGATGTTAAAAGCTGTTGCCAGGATGGTTTCCTACTTAGCCCTGAAATATCTATTTGAGGCGTCTATATGTAGGGGTGGGAATGTTGCGAAAAGACGCGAGTTGAGTGGCGACGGTTCAAAACTACTTGGCGAAGAATAAGGCGCTCCGTTCTATCGTGACTGCAAATCAATCTTTGGACGAGTTCCCTGTAAGGCCTATTTGGCAAATAAACCCGCTACCGAAAAATACGCCTGCATCGATATGTACCTCATGCGCTTGCATTGCAGCAATTCACGGGCCGCCTTTTGGCATGAGCGCGTGTGCGCGCTGTGGGCTTCGAATAATGTGGGCTTAGCAAATAAGTATTGTATGAGTGCTGATAAGCGTTCGTAGTGAGTGACGGTCGTCCATTTTTGTGGGGGGACGGGGACCGTGCGCGGGCGTTTTGGAACGTAAAAACTTGGGGGGCTTGATTGGGCCCTAGGTGTGAGTGAGCTAGATTCCGGTCCGGTGGGCGGGAATCCGCCTATGCAGCGCCTGCCCGCCCAGCGGTTCAGCGGAAAATGTCTATCCTGCAGCGAGTTAGATCTTGGCGGATTTTATCGTGCCAACTGCCTTTAAGAGGTCAATCCACTACTGGGAGGGATTTTTCAAACGAACCTTTTAGCTTCTACTGCAAAGGATTTCTCAACGAATTTTTTTCTGGTGGCCCACAATCTTGGCAGTGGTGTTTTGAGGTCCTATTTCAGTGGTGGTGCTTTAGTGCCAACGCCTGTGGCGCAGATAGCAGACATATGCGAGCCAAGTCGACGCTATATTCCTGCTCATAAAGGCAAACTGCTGGGGTAAAAGCCTGCACCGTTTTGTTCGCTGTTGATGCTATGGCGCGTCAATGAGGGTCAATTTGGCACGACTCCAGCCCGTTATCCACCAGTTGTTGAAGTGGCTACGTGACAACAACTTGTAGAAAACGACTGGTACGAACGATAGTCTTGAAGCTTGTCGAAAGGAAAAAACGGGTTGTCGTCGCGTCAAACTCATTCCCTTGACACGCCCCATCATTCGCAGCGAACAAGGCTGTATCAACATGGACATATTACCACGAAATATAGCACAATTTTGAAAACTATGGCTTGTGAAGGGTCGTCAGCCTTGCCGAAAGGGCTAAAAAACTACACATGAATACTCACCTTGGTCCTCGATTCATATAATTGCATCCCAACCATCCTCACTCCCAACGTCGCACTTGTCGATTCACGACATTTTCTGAGTTGACGATGACGTTTAGACTCCGACGCATCGTCTCCATGTTGTCTGAAGGAAGTCAGACTCACTATCACATCCAAAACATTTCACCCAGCCCTAAATGATTACCTGGTTCCTATCTTGAGATCTACGACACATGGCCGTGAAAACGTCGCCACGATATTGTTGAGTAGTATGAACCACGAATAAGACCCCTCAAGCAGCTTATGAACTACCTAAAACCATGACCAGCTAAAACCAGAATCACGTCACTGAATGAGTACTGACGTACCTTGCTCTGACACTCCGCAGCCCAATAGTTTGGCACACGCTCCGTGACCACTTCCACTCTTCCTGATTCGCCTATACGAAAACGGACTGAACCTGACTTCTTCAGCTTCGGATGGCACTCCACCACTGGTTCAGCGACCAAATGCAACTCGCCGTCATCGTCCACAGTGGCACATACTCTGACACGACCTTAACAGCGG